AGGCAGGGGGGAGAGGCAGTTAGGGATGAGCAGTCCATCGGGGGGGCAGTTAGACGTGATCAGGCAGGCAGCAGGTGAGCAGTTAGGAGCCAGTGATCCCGGATTGTGAGTGGGATGTCCCAGATTGGAGAGGGTTCAGGGTGGTGCACGAATTTTGTGCACCGGGCCTCTAGTAATCCTATATAATAAAAGAGTAATATACAAATTGACCCTAAGGGTAATATGCAGAATGACCGCTGGACCAGTCACTATGAGGTACACTGACCACCTCTTGGTCCCTTCCCCTATCCGTCAGGCACCGATCACCTGATGGTGAATGGGGAACTGAGGATAGGTGGCGGTGGGGGACAGAGTTGGCTGCAGGCAGCTGGGGAAGATGGTCCTGATCACAGGCCAGGCCTAGGGACCAGAACCCACGCACGAATTTTGTGCACTGGGCCTCTGGTATTTATATATTTTAAATGTACACTTTATTGAAATTTTTAAAATGCATATGCCCTATAACCTACCTCTATATCAAAATACAAAGTATTTTCATCATCCACCCTATAAAGTAAGGAACTATTCCAAGAATTAGAGGGGCCAGGCAAAAGTACAGAGGAGCCATATTGAAGGGATTTACATTGACCAAATCTGGAACAATTCGATGTAATGTAAATGAAAAAAATTATAGTAATTGATAGTACCCCCATGTATAATATTAGAATTTATAACTTCTAATAAGGAAGGAAAAGAAGGAGAGAGAGGGAGAAAGGGAGGAAGGAAGGAAGGAAAAGGGTCAGGTTTTCCTAATAGTCCAATGCCAACTAATAAATATGGAACAAAAGATTAAGCTAGAAAATCATTAATGAATGGTAAAACTTATGGCTCATGTTTAATTAGAAACAGAACACTTACATAGTCTCAGAGTTATCTCTCCACAAACCACTTAAAAAGGGAAAAATTATCAAGTTTCTGATGGGGAAACGTAAAGGATGCCACTGTAACAAAAATCATCCCTACCACTATGAACATGGATGCAAACTGATGTCATACTACTCCTGATATGATTCACTGAGAAAGACTAAAATCATATCTGATATATTCCTGCCAGAAA